ACGGGTAATTGCATAACTGTCTCGAATACTCCGAACCCCCCTCCTGTTTAGATGAGGCTATGTAAACAAGGACAAAAGTGTTCTGTTGCTTAAATATTCTCACAGTTTTTTTATTTTGGTATGTTTTTGTTGAGTACATTTATCACAAGCTCCTGACTCGGGAAAATGGGCAACCACTCCCTATGTCATGACTTCGAGGTGGCTCCCCATACTTTTACGCTGAGGACGACAGCTTAAGTAATCTGCGTGTGCTCAAAGGAAAACATCAGCTTTCGATATTTTATGACGTCAACCTGAGTACAAAAAGCAAAACTGACAGTGAACTTTCTCGCGTTTCCTTCCGTGAAATTCCGTAAAATGTGGTAGACTGTTAATAAATATTTCCCTTTAGTTGGAGCTCCTTTTTCGGGGAAAACTATCAGACCGGGTTTTCCGCAGCGGTAAAAGACACTAATTTGCTAAAATCGAAAAAACTGCCTGTACAAACCCTACTTTTTACGTCATCAGAAGACCTTACACATTTCTTGTTGGAGAGAGATGACTGTTTTTTTTCCCCGCAGCCTAGCAATTAAACTACATGAAAAAGCGTTTCAAATACGGTGTGCTGAAAACCCTGCCAAAGCCTCAAAGAGTTTTTCACATTTTCTCGTTGGAATTCCTCAACTAGAAATTTGTTTCGTGTAACTAATTAGCGGCAGAGTGTCATTTGCCGTTCTTGTTTGATTCTAGATTGTAAGATGAAAGTACTCAGATACTACACACCACAAACAGCAGAACCAAGCATCTTACCCCTCCACTTGTCTGTTGCCAAATCCCTAGCTTCGAACTGAACCTCATCAAAAGGCTCGCAAGTTGGCTGTTCAAAGGAACAACAACAAAAGGTTACAAGACATATGAAAGTTCTGATCACTTTAGGAAAGGTTTTCTTCTCAAAACCAAATTTTCCCAGGCAGTGTTATACAAAATGTACAAAACACAACAGTGAGGATTTTCATGTTGAACGCTAGCATACCTCATCTTCTGGGTCAGCGTAGGTGGCCAGGTATGGATGTGCAAGGGCTTGCTCAGCAGTGAGTCTTTTGTCTGTGTCAAGATTGAGCATGCTTTCCAACAGGTCTACAGCTAAAATGGACAACAAACAAAACAACGCACATAATGAACAAACACTCCAGCAAACACAAAAACCTCAAGAATTTGATCACAATTAGTGGCACAACTGTCGTTGCTCATTCTTTCTCAAACTCATTAATAATTCTTCAGGTATAAACAAAGAAAATCACAGGCGTAAAAGAGGTTTGGATACCTGGTCTTAATCAGCATAGATTTTGACGATTTTACTTCCCCGTTTACTCCTTGGTTTTTGTTTCGATTGAGAAGATATATCGAATACGCGGGACAGTGTTTCATCGGCTATCCAAACACCTCGAATTTCGTCAAAAATACTCCGCTGCGCGTCGTATTTTCAACTCTCTTCTTAGTGTTTGGATATCCCGATAAAACACTGTCTCTTGTGTTTCATATACTACATCTAGGATTCGGTCCCAACACTTCATCAGGCTGCGCTTGGTAGCCTGCGCAGCTGGTGGGATTTTGCAGGCAAGTGCTTAAGTTCAGCAGCAGAGTCCTGATGCAAGCAGCAAAGCTGCAAGGAAAGTGAGTGGTCAAGTTAAGATCAAATCCCGCCAACTCAGTATACAGGCTACCTAACAGTTAGCTGCTACCCATCTGTATGTCTGGATGCAGAGTCGCACTAGCTGCGAGAATCAAAGTGCCTTGCATAATAACCTGCAGAACAGGCGGATTAGCGGGCTCTAGTGCGATACACAAGCGTGCGCGCGAAGAGTGCTCGTGTATCGCGCCAGAGCCTGCTAATCCGCCTGTGCTGCAGGCTACTTGCATAAGAACGTGACACTGATCTGTAGGTCATTTTGTTAGACCAGTTATTACGATTACTCACCTTGAGGGTTTGCGTGAAGAAAAACTTCTGAGAAGGGTCTTTTCTTGAAATCTGGCATGGACGCAATGTAGCTTCTTGCCTATGAAGAGACACAGGGTGAAATCATAAAGTTTGCCTTCAAGCCTACAGTGTAACCTACAGTAGCTACAGTGTACAGTTTTTTCCCAGGCCAGCATTAAACTAAGATTTGCATTGCATTGATGCAGCTAGGAATATTTGCTTATCACTTGAATGGGATGTAGGTCCATCCCAGGGATACCCCCCCCCCCCAGCATTAAATTCGCAGGCACCCATTTATACACGTGGGTGGAGAGAGGCACTGTAAGGGTAGTGTCTTGCCCAAGAACACAATAAACAAAATAAACTAGGCCAGGGCTCAAACCCAGACCGTTGTTACAGAGTCAAATGCACAAAAAATAAGGCCACTATACCTCCCACAGATGGGACACTAATCAATTATAGGCATCTCCCAGCCAATTCATGGCTACCAATTTATACTCCTGGAAGGAGAATCAAGCATTTTCTACCAGGAACGTCATAATCAATGACCTGGCCTGGCTTGAATCTGAGGGCTATTTTAATATGGGGTCCAGTGCATTTAACAATTATTCCATGAGCGTGCATTGGGTGTGGGTTGATTATAACCATCTCATATCCAGCAAGTGCGAGTGGAATAATTATTTTATTAAAAACGCCCCCAAAATATAGAAAATTGAAGTACCATAAAAATTATAATGCCACCCAAATTTTTGTGCATACTCTAATACCATATTTGTAGAGCATGGTATAATTGCTAATATACCATGATGGCTGAGCCAATGAAAACTCGTCTGAATTGCATAATCCAATGATCTGTTATAAATAACCATTGGTCCACAGTGCAGGGCTCTCACATAGTAATCAGTAACAAGTACTTTTGTTCCAAGCTTGCGACTGTAAAAATTTAAAAGTATGCACGCCTCGAATATATTTACATAATCAAACTAGTAGCTGCACTTACAGAATCACTGCTAATTTTTGACAGGAACTCTTCATCCGGCTTTCCAACCAGCTGCATTATTCTGGTCAACTGATCAATATTTTCTCACGGTCAAAGATAACAATAATCAAAAATAGCTTTTGCCAGGGAGTGGGGATGGGGCAAATCTCCTTATGATACTGACACAAATTTTATCAAACTTGCTATGGGTCACAAATCACACACCACTTCTCAGGGCAGGGAAAAAGACCAGGTCCAGTTGCTTGGTGCTTGGAAGTAAATTTGCTCTTAGGCAAGTGAAAATAGTAGTTCGGTGGCCCAATGGGCAAGTGAAATTGGCCTCAGTAGTTTTGTGAGTCTGAATGAAAATGTCAGCTTGATAAATGATAATTTCCAGTCAGAAAGTATTGCAAAACTTGAGACTGCAAGATTAGTTAACCACTGAGTTGAAAGCATGGATTAGTTAGGAATCCAAGCATACTTTGTTTGCATTTGTCCTCAGATTTCCATACCCACCTCCACGTCAGCCTGCCCTGTTCCTAAGGGTGTTCTGTTTTAAATTTTTGCAGTTGCTCAACATAATGACTTCTTAAAAAAGTAGGTGCAAACAAACAGAAAATACAGTAATGCTGTCAAGTGAACGTACATCTAATAATTCATTTCTTCTAAGTGGTGGCTTTTGGACATTCCACTCATCAATAAAAGAGTTGACTAAACAAAGTTGCCTCTTACATGTAGAGGTAAATATTAACATGTGTGATGCTTTTCTCCCTTCCACTACACCAATAAAAACAAGATTCTGATGACTTTAAGGTTATTTCACTTTAAAATAAGAGCATCCCTAACACTTTATATAGCAACCCTCTTTTAATTGTTACCCCTTTTTAGTCAAGAGTAAACTCCAGAAAAAACACGAGATGTGCTTGAATGAATTATCTCTATGTTGCTATCCAGGGGTTCTATTACAAGTGTTAAATCACATTTGGAGGTACATTATTTTGTAGATCTATTTTGTACTATAACCTATCAGGGGTTTTATTAATGGCTGGGCACCAGGCAAATTGACCAGCCTTGTGGATGATTTTGCCTGCCTGGCTTGACCATCTCAAGGAAAGTTTTTGTTAGAAAAACATTCAGTTCAAAATGTTTCGCCAGCCTGTGAAAACTAGCTGCCCTCCTGAACTATATGTATATGCTGTACTCTGTTAGACAAATTTCCTAGTTGGTACTAACACTATCACTGATTAAGACGATTTATGTCAAGGATATGATCATTTCCAGGAAACAACGTCTTGGATGTCAAAAGTTCCGCCATGATACACCCAACAGACCAAATATCCACTAGAACAGAGACAAAAATGTGCATTTTGATTGGCAAATATTCCAGAGGAAGACTACATAATAACTTTCAGGTGCATAAACAACATTAGATTACAATAAATATCAGTTTTGGTAGTGAATTTACTGACAGTTACGTCTGGTTTTGTCCATTAATGTACCCAACTTTGTAATTAGCCAATCAGAAGCCATGTCTACTGTCCTGACATTCTGCGATATCAGGTCACTAAGTTAAACCTGATATGGCTATGACATAGCCTGTGTGGCAGGCGTGCTCTATCCTCTGCATTCATTTTGACCCTTTCCCTACCCTGCTATGGCCTGCCACACAGGCTAGCTACGATATTACTCACTTGGCCAAATTTGGGTACCCTAAATACCTAATTGTACCTTTTTGGGATGCTTCGGCAGCATATCAAGGCTCATTTGCTTCCCATGGGTATTTTAAAATATGAGTTCACCGTAGCTCAACCAAATTTGTCCGATATGCCACCAACGTGTACCAAAAAGGTATGATTAGGTATAACAACAAAATACAGCAGAAAAATCACAAAGTTACGTAGTGTGATTTTTCCCAAGATGAACTCTTTTTACGATTTTTCTATCATTCTATGACTTATCACTTTTCTATTTTCAATTTATTTTCTTTTGAATTTTAATATCCAGTGGGTTGGCATTCTATGCACATATTGATAAAGTATATGGATAGATCTTTGATTGTTCTGAATTGACCTGAAGCTCCTCCATGTACCTTTGTTGAATTTCAAACAATCCAGCTACATGTTTAGTCAGGAGTTATTTTAACCCATCCAGGTGAAGTTTAGTTTTTGGAGTACAGGATTATGTTGACAGCTCCGTGTACATACTGGTGTAGGTCCACAGAGATTAACCCACAATGTCAATATAAAAATGCGCAATAACCTGTTTGGTTGTAGTGCATCCAGTTGAGCATGATTTCTGGTGCTCTGTACCATCGTGTTGCAACATAGCCAGTCATTTCTTCCTCAGCCATCCTCGCAAGGCCAAAGTCAAGAATCTAGCAAAAAATGTGCAAAATTATTATCTTTATTAATACATGTAAGTTATGCCTTTTGAGAAAATAGCCACCGTGGAACAAATGGCTTAAACAGTGATCACAGCTCTGTAGCCAAATAGGGTGGTAGTCCATCCTTTTCCAATAACAGCAGTACATGTTTTACCCATTTATACCCCTTGGTGGAGAGAAGCACTGCAAATTGGAGTGAACTGCCTTGTCAAAGAAAACATGATGGAAATGATGGGGTGTTGCCAAAAATTAATGTCTATCAGCTGAAGTAAAAGGTTTGTCAGAATTGGCCAATCTTTTACCTTCAGCTCACAATCTTCATTGACAGCAATATTGCTTGGTTTTAAGTCCTACAATACAATAAAAATGCATCAGTTAAGGTATTTAACAGGAAAACACATTTTTTCTTTCAATTTTTTATTTTTATAATTATATAAACACATAGTAAATCAACTACTTTATGTTTTGATTAAGCAATTGGTAAAATTGTTCCAGTCTTACTGTCTAGTATTTCAACATTTAGACTATTATCAAAACCAATCATTTGAGCTACATGACTGTACTTTTATATATTGTTAAACTGTTTGCCATTATTAATTTTACAACAGGCTTCTATAAAATCTGATCCACTGCACTACATACCCTGTGAATAACTCCAGCTGAATGGACGTACTGCAAAGAAACAGACACCTGATAAATTTTCTAGAATCTAAAACATTAAACTGCTGCAGAATTGGACAAAGCAAGTTTCATCTTCTTCTTGGCCTTATCCTATGGCAAAAAACTCTTATCACAACCTCAAGAAAAACTTCAAACAGTCTGGCTACGTGTATGGTAAACAGGGCTTTTCACAGCAGCCCATGCAAACCTATCTGGCCCTACAATGCATATGAATCAGCTCATAGTACAGTTTTTAGTACAGAATGTGACAGCAGAGACACTGACTGGCACTTGTATAACAAGCTACATGGCATAGCATAGCATAGCATATATGTAGCACAGCATAGCCGTATAGCATAGAATACCATAGCATAGAATAGCATAGCATAGCATAGCATAATATAGCATAGCATACCGTAGCATAACACAGCATAGCTGCATAGCATAGTGTAGCGTAGCATACCATAGCATGGCATAGCATAGCTGCATAGTAAGCCATAAGCAAACTTGACTTGAACCTGCCATCCAATCAAAAACCAGTGCTTGGGCAGTGGCCAACTTCAAAAGACACGACCTCAATGAGCTTTAAGCTTGGGCACGCAATATGGACATGTGATACTGGTCAGCAGATACCTTTATTTGACAGGTGTCAATTGACTGTAAACCAAGCCAGCATGCCTCAGTCAGCCTATTAGCTGGAGTATGGCCACCATGTTGCACAATGTCATTGTTGCTGTGTGAATCGCCCCATGCAATGTCACTAACCATGACGACTGCACGGGAAAAGCAATCCGTGGGATCCTATAAGTATGGTGCTCCTACTTGGTGTCACTTTGGGCCGCTGGGGCTTTAATTGCTATAATCAAATGTATTATCTGTGCCTACCTTAAGCCCCCTCAGTATCTGATACACCAGAAACTGGACATGTTCATCTGTGAGCTTCTGGCACTTGAGAATGCTGTTTAGATCAGCTCCCATGAGAGCAGTCACCATGTAGCTGTTGTTCACAGAAAAAATATCAATTAATAAGTCAACACACTATCTTCAAGCTCAGTGTTTTGTGTTTCAGTGAGTTCCTGGACTACACTACAATGTACATGTACATACAGGGGATTCATTAAGGGTCAGGCACCGGGCAAATGGTTTGAACATCTGGAGGAAAGTTTTTCTGATGAAGAATTTCAGTTCAATTACTTTTGTCTGCCTGTGAAAATCAGTTGCCTTCCTGATGAAACTGTAATGAAACCCCTGCACTTGCTGTTGGATACCTTGCAATATGTAGTTTATTCTTACTAAAATTACAGTTCTAACATTTCTTTGAAGATCTATGTCCAGTTTATTCAAATGTGAAAAAGGATTGTCTTGGTCTCTCTGGTTCAAAGACTGGATAACACTATAATTTATACCTTATTATAGGAAATTAACAATGCACGTTGACAGTGCAAAGAAAATTTATGTTACACTAAATCAACGTGAATTTTTCACAAGTTAGGTTTACATACATTAAATTAACGCAAATTTTTTGATGAGCATCTTGCTTTACTTACTGCGATTTTCATGATTCTGCAAACTTGCAATTTACATTTCTGAACGCCAAACTGCGTTTTGGCTTCCGTCACTAAAACCTTCCAACGCAAGTCCATGGACGTTTCTAGGTTTTATTTACAGCTGAAAATTTGGTTTTGAAGCCCAACTATAACCTATCAATTCAAAAGATCTTTCAAAGCCTCCGTGAAATCACCAAGATAGCGACTCTGAAGAGCCAACAGAGGAGTCATGAACTAATAAGGTTTTGTAATGAAATAAAGGTGCTTTAAAATAGCAATGTTGTAAAATAGTGTGCAGTAAATTTACATTGACATAAATTAAGGCATATTAAATTAACGCAAATTTTGTAAAATTACGTTAATAAAGTGCATTGTTAATCTCCTATAATAAGGTAATGGTTGAATCCAGGTTGGATATGATATCACATGTTCCACCAAAACCATATCCAATGGATTGTGATTTGAAGTGAAGTGTATATGAAATAATTCATATTTGAACTGCGGTTATCGATGAAAGTGAAGAATGATAATTGCAGTAAATTTTCCAATTTAAGCAGTTGGAAAGAAGACACCTAAAAAAATCAGGGCTTCAAAGGGATTCGAACCCATGACTTCCGTGAATACCGGCGCGACGCTCTACCAACTGAGCTATGAAGCCACACATTGGGAACGAGGTCAATTAATTGAGTTCATATCTTCCTGTGAGGAGTGAAATGATGTGAAGCATATGCATGTATGAAATAGTTCATGTTTGAACTGCGGTTGTAGATGAAAGTGAAGAGTGATCATCGGAGTAAATTCATCCAGTGGGTAGCGTTAACCATTTTTAACCATTTTAAAATTAAAACAAGTCTGGTCCTGGTCAACAAACTGACTCATAATGACTTGGAAGTAAAATACAGTGCAGCTACTTACACATCTTGAAATGTTTCAAATGATGTATCAGGAGTAAAGACATCAAGTAGACCGATGACCTAAAAAGTCAAAATTAGTAACATGTCTTGATCAGTATTCTGCAGTTCTAGAAAATAGGAACCTGACAGAATGCTCGGAAGAAATCTTTGAAGGTCTCTAGCATCCCATCAGGAAGGGGGGGGGGGGGCAAAATTCCTAGCTGATTCATGCTATGGAAACTAGAGTCAAGTGTTGAGAAGTATGAGCCATTTAGGCCATTGACGTTTATAGAAAGGTGGGTTGGCCAATAAGGAGGTGAAAAGTGCTGGAATGAAAGGTACATGCCCCTCACCCCCCCCCCCCCNAACTACCCGACTTCGAAGGCTATTAAAGGGGAATGGGTAAAATTAAAGTTGAATTAACATATAGCAAGACAATACCATAGAGGACTTGATTTAATGTAGTTCAATGTCACTTTGAATTGTGTGAGCAGTGTCTATAAGAAGTCCAACATTAAATATATCAGATCACGTGTACTAAAGGCATCTGCCATCAAGTGTTGATCGACACCTGGATTGATACCCTTGATTGACACTCAATCCCTTGATTGACACTCAATCGAAACTCAATCAACACCTCAGTTGACATTCACTCGAAACTCAATTGACACTTGATCAACATCTCAGTCGAGAGTCAACTTCTTTTCAAACGGTGCATAGTCAGTCAATAATTGGCTGACTATCAACTGACTGTTGATCGAGTGTTGATTGTGCGTCAATCGAGATGTCGATCGAGTTTCCATTGACATGTCAATCAGGGGTCGATTAAGGATATCGATTGACTCTCAAGCGTGGATGCAGTTAGCACACAAGATCCAATAAATCCACAAATTTACCCCAGCAAGTCAAGTTCTCATGGGTAGGAGTTGTACCTGTTCTATTTTTGTTCTTGTCAATGGTAATACCTTACTGACAATGATTGAAAAAAACTAAGAAAAATATCAATTTGTACCAAGGGTAATACTGTTGAACCACAACACATATAATATTATTCTGGAAAAAATTCTCAGAGGTACATTCAGCATAACTCACAGTCATGAACAGACATGTTTACACGAGCTTACATTCTCATGGTTCATATGGCGTAAAAGCTTCAATTCTCTAAAGGATCTTTTAGCATGCATTGTCGTCTGGAAAGGTCTTGACAGTTTCTTAATGGCAACTTGCTCTCCTGTGGCAGTATTCATTGCAGAACTGTTGATTAACAAAGAATCCTGTTTTAGTAACTTACTTGTAGTCAACCAAGACTTTCATGAACTTCTCATATTACTTGGGCAACTAATCCAGCCAATCTTAAGAATATTCTGCCAGCAATTTCAAACTTGAAAAACTACAACTTACAATTCCCAAATTTACATTCCAAAATATTGTGGATTTAGGTTCAGCATTTGCAGAATTATACAGCTGTTTTGAGAAAGGTTTTCCTGCAAAAGCATAACAGTGTATGTGATAATGCCAAAAGGTATTGTAGGTACATGTAATGGTGGAAAGACCATGTCTGACCACATTTCCAAACACCAAGGAGAAGGTCAAAAATGTGATGCCTAGCAGAGTATTTGTGATGAACATCGAGGTATTTGGACATGTGTCTTTTAAAATGCTGTCTTGAGTGTTTGATATATCCTCTCAATTGAAACTAAAACTAAGAAGAAAACAGAGAAATAAAATCATGAAAATATTATGCTAATTAAGGACGGTGCCAACTAAAGACAAAGGTTTTTGCTCCAGGTTAGGACTTTGCGGAAAAAGTAGATCTTTGCAAGGGCTATCAGAATCCACAAAAAAAAAAGAGGGTAGCCATGCATTTTTTCGAGATAATTAGCCTTGAATCTCAACAAAAAATTAATGCTGACATCAGCATTTTTCTGAAAATACATGTAGAAGGAGAGGATATTTCTNGTGGGCATTACGGGAGAATAATGCCCTACAATTCAGTGACAATTAACCAATCAGAGCGCGCGTTATATCGGCCACAAGCCAAAGCCATATAATAAAATGAAATACGGATTCAAACAGACATTCAGCGACTCTCTCGTAATCAGCAAATTGCCCACACTTTCTGCTTAAATGGCAAACATTCAGAACTTTTTTAGGTATACGCATACAGGATTAGAAATGAAATGGAAAACTATCTGTACTGCACTGGATTTCTGCGTGGGTAGATTTTGGTCACATGCTAGGCAATGATATTTAAGAACAAGATCAAATTCCATTTCACACTGTGTCTCTCTATGCCTGGCAGCCAGACAGGTTTTTCAAACTACTCTGTGTCTAGCATTCAAAATTAATTTTGTAAAATTTCAGTGAACAATATCAAATCCTTGTTTATATTGCTGAATATTTCACTATTTCCGCTGTAGTGTGAATTTTGGTGAGCCGCACCTGGTGTACCGTGATTTATAATGTAGACTAAATGACCAGCAGTCAAAACACTTTTGTAGCTTAGGCTAAGTAGCTCTCCGGTTAGCCTAAAAAGCACTCCGGTTAGCCTGAATAGCATTCTGGTTAGCCTGTTTATGGTTAGCTCTCTATAATACCAGGGGTAACACTATTAATTCTTAAAAAATAAAAAGATAAGCTGAAAGGCAAAAGACTTAAATTGTATCGCAGTGCAGTCCAGTACGGTAAATGTTACACAGTAAATGTTTTGCTTTCATTACATGCACTGTTAATATTTTGTTCTCATTACACGCACTTAATAGGTTCCAGTTAATCGATTGCATGTAATTTTACACGCAATATCAAGTCTACTGCGTGTAATTGGTTACACGCATTTATGTGCGTATTTGCGTGTAAAGTGCATGGTCGCTGCATGTAATGTGTGTAATACATGCGCTTTACGGGTGTGTAATGCTGCAATCCCTTTGACTGGTGCTGTATATTTCTACACCAGACAATGGTTTGTACACCTTGTCTCACAAGTTTTTTTCCTCTGCTGAAAAAAAAATCACAGGGAATGCTGTATATATATCAAACACCCAAGTAGTCAACATAAAAAATGTCCGATACAGTGTTGCTGTAATCACTGCAAAAAGTACAGCTCAGAACTTCCTAGTTTACAAGTACAATGCTTGAAGCGATGAATACATTGCAAGACATGCTTATTTCAGGTATGTTACTTTACGAGGCAATTTTCTTGCAACATTTGTTGCAAAATTATTTTAAAAAACTCACTACTGTAATTTGCAGTGCCATGAAATTAATGGTTGCTTTTTCTGAATTTTGTTACACTTATACATTTATATGATGACATGCAGTGTTCTAGATAGGCAAGGGGTCTCAGGTCAAAAACCTGACAAGGTCAGCTACATGACCCAGCAAATTAATAGAAAATTTATCATGATTTGGTGGGAGCAGTGGGAATTGACCCATTGGAGTTTGTTATCGAAACCCTGCTTTATCAAAACCCTTCTTATCGAAACATATCTGGAACCCTGAACATGTAGTTGGTAAAACATGACTTTTTGTCAACTAAGTCTGTCTGTAATCATATTTGTGGTTAAACAAGGCACTTGTACAATAACAGAGCGACTCGAACTCCAGACCAATTGTTAACCCCTATATGTACTTTCATGTTGTACTTTTTAAAACTGTTTGTTTAATTAAGCTAAATCTGATTAATGCCTAATTACTTACCGAAGACAAGTCCAAATCGACGTATCAATCGCGATTTTTAAGCCATATATTTACATTAAGAAAGAGATGTAAAAGGTACTATATCACGATAGCTAGTTGTATTTCTGTAAGCCTACAGCTGCGAAGCATTTATTAACATTATGAAACCCCACTTGGCAAGGATAAACACTTGATCGAGGTTTCAAATTAAAAGTGAGTTCAACCTTTGGAATTGCGATTCTCCTGTGCGTGCAATGAAGCAAAGCCGAGGAAAACCTACTTCGGCGGAAATCCGGAACACAAGAAAAGCAATAGAGAAAACAAGCTACAAATCGCACCATAAATTTTGGATAACGTGTAAAAGAGCACGAACACTACTCTAAACTAGACTTTTTAGCTTACCACACTTGTCCGTATGCACCAGTTCCAATCGGACTGAGATCTTGATACTTCTCAGGCACTTCCCAGACGGTTCTGTTTAGCTCTATCCTATAGTATCCTGCCGGAAGATCAGCCATGCTGGCTTCTAATCTGTTCCTGTAAGTCTCTTCTTCTAGTCAAGACAAAACACTTGAAACATGGATGATTTCCAAGCTGATCCAAGGAAGTGCGCACGACGCTCAAACTACGATAAGAACTGCACATCTACGATGCACGAAGTGCAAGCTGGGTGATAGTAATCATGGCGGACGCAGATGAAGAAAGTGAGGAAGACAGTGTTTTTAACTTTAAGAAGCCTTTAGAACTCTTCGAGGAACGAGAGATCGTGCGGATATGTGCGCCAATGGTCAGGTATTCAAAGTAAGTAGCTAAACTTCAGTTCGCGAAAAATTGAAATGAGGTATTGAACATTGATACTTAACAATTATTCCATGAGCGCGCGTTGGATATGAGATGGTAAATAGCCAACGAGGTCCGTAGGGCCGAGTTGGCTATAACCAATCTCATATCCAACAAGCGCGAATAGAATAATTGTTTTATTAACTTCGGTGCGTTTGTATTCTTGGAAATATAGCTTAATTTTATTGGATTTTAATTTTGCAAAACGACCGGAAGTCGATGTGGCAAAAACAACAAGTGGGAAATCACATGACATGCGCGCCGTTTGTAAAATTAGTTGAATGAAAAATTTGAAAGCGAATCAAGCGAATTTGCTGAATGAAATTACAATCAATTAGAATTCAACGAACGTCCATCAAATGAAGGCGATATAACCCTGGTCAGAAAGTTTGAAAAGCGTTCAAGCTCGAGTCATGGAGAAGAGCCGAATGATTGTGCACCTGCACATTGCCGTTGTAATAATGCTGCGGAAAACTTTGATCGCCATGTGACACAGACGTTGTGCCAAAATTGTTCTCGACAAGACTTCTTTCGGATTCCCTGGCTTTGAAAGCCTTGGCATTTTGAGCTGTATGTGTGGTCTCAGCTCATTGTTGGCCAGATTCAGAGTCAGGGACAGAAACTATCTTAGCATCAGATTCATCTTCAGAATCTTCAAGGCCACCCTGATGGTTTTTTGTGGCAAGTAAAGAACCGGGCTTGCTCCGGTTCAGCTCAAAACACTCAACTCCTTGAGGTGTTTTTCACAAGGACAGAATTGCTGGCGCTAGCTGTCATTGATTCTCTCGTCCTCGTCGGCCGAAAAAGAGACTGAGATGAAACTAGGTTGTCCTCTGTAGGTTGTCCTCTCTTCTTTTGACATTTCTTATATCGGTTTCAAAAATTTGGTGCCACCACGACTAGCAAGCCATTCTGTTATGGTAAACATTGTTTTTGTTACATAATCTTCATGAATGCGTAAAATTTTGACAGTCATATTTGATTTTGCAACTTTTAAGGGAAACTTAACATATACGTACCGTTATTTAAATCATCTCAAACTTTGTGGCTTTTTTGTTGTTACTGGGACAACATTGTACATAATTTCCTGTATTTCTTCTGTAGATAGCTCACCGAATCTGCTTTTTTCATCCATTATTTTGTTAAAGAAACTTTGCTTCCCACAAAAAAGCTCATGCCAAGCGGCATTTGCCGCTTTCATTTCCATGTAAGGTCAAACGCAGGTATAATGGCTGGTAACCGAGATCTAGTGAACCAATCAGAAAGCTAGAATTGCATTATCCAAGGCTGAGAATTTAATAATGAGTATTAGCTTGTGCATAATTTCAGCTGCAGTACATTTTAACTTTGGCCTATGAGGTTTTAAATTACAAAACAACAGCGGTATGCTGGTGATTTTCAAGAGAAAATAATCAAATGTTTTATCTTCTCCTCATAATACAACTTTTGAATTTTGTGATTTAATCTACTTGCCAATTGTTGTTTCCGGTATGATATAAAGAATTCCTCAGGTCAGATACAACTGTATAAGCTTATTAATGAAATGCAGGTTTTTTTCTGTACTGTTTCAGGCTACCTTTTCGGTCCTTGGTGAGAAGGTAACTTTAAAAACATATGATGAAAAACTAGTTAGGATGAGGCCCTGTCAGGAGGGGTTCATTTGTTGCTTGTCTGAATTTCAAAATTTCTTGTATCAGTGTCCGTCTGTCCATCCAGCTGTCCATCCGATAGTCCGTCCTTCTGTCAGTCTGGTAGTCCTTCAGTCTATCCCTCCATCAAATAGTATTGGCACCCCAATATACTGTCTGTTTACACTCTGCAGATTTTTCCTTGGCGAGTCTCTCGTTTTTGCAGAATCATGTACATGTACATCATGTCATTGTTGGAAGTGGTCTAAACTGCAGTGTCAATGGGCTGATCTTGCCTTGATTTCCAGATGTTATTTCATGAACATTAAAATTTACTGATTTGATTGAATGCAGGTATGGATGTGACTTGGCATACACTCCAATGATAATCTCTGACTCATTTGTTAAGTCAGTTAAAGCCAGAGACATGGAATTTACCACTAATTCAGGTACATGTATATTTTATAGTTATTTAGTTCTTATTAATGGAACAGGAGGTCTGTATCGGAGAATCTTAACCGAGTTTGTGTCAGTACAGACTGAACACAGTGAGTTCTGTACACATGACCAAAGTCAAGATTCTCCCATACAGACTGACTAAGCTGAGGGTTGTCCAATATGCACGAACTGACACGACCCATACAATGGCATCTTCCTTTTTGTGCAATTTTAGTTTCCAACTTTTTCACCACAAAATGTAACCAGTCTAGATGCCGGTCCAGATGGGAAAATCTAGGCTGCAGTCAATATCCATTTTAGCCGATCAAATTGGTGAATTTGATAGTTCCCAGTCCTTGTGAGGCACAGCCATATAATAAAATAAAATAATGTCAAAGTGACATTATTAAATAATAATTATTAATATTTGTTAGATGTACAACTTGATGTACTGGTAATCATTGTTTGTAGGGCCCCTTATGTCCTAGCTGGGCTGAGATGGCATCAAAACATATTGTAACTGAGATAACAACAAACAAATTATTGGATTTATTCATAGAAAACAGGAATATAATACCATAATACCAACAACTCTTTTTTCAGCATTTATTTGCAAAATTATTGAGTTGGATATTCTTTCAACTTAGAAATATGTTTATCATGTCAATCTGTACTTGTAGGTGATCGTCCATTGGTTGTTCAGTTTGCTGCAAGCAACCCAAAAGAATTTGCTGATGCTGCTGAAATTGTATCACCGTGAGTTGAACAAATCTGAACTTAAGTCTCTGCTATAACATGTACTTGTATTAGCCATCAGATATTCAGCCTGAGCACTAGTCTTTATTCCTAGAATAATATAATTATTATTTATGATGAATTCCTTTTTCTCTTAGGTTTGTTGATGGTGTTGACCTCAATTGTGGCTGCCCTCAAAGGTGATTTGGAACATTTAAGATTATTAGACGGTATTAGATAATGGTTAAATTCCATTTCATAAGTCACCAAAACGATTTTAGACTCAGTTAAAGAAAGCTACGAAAACAAGACTTTGTAACTCATCAGTAAGGATTCTATGATTTTGAGATAAGGTCTAAAGTTTCCAAGACTCAAGATTTCTTAGGTACTATTTGCCACACCTACAGTATGACATGAATTATAATTGGCTTTGTTATTTTATTTATTAATATCTACCTTGTCTGCATAGTTGACATAAGTTCAGTTTTTCTTGCAAGCGGTTACCTACTGGTACATGCACAGGTAGGATAACTTTTGTAGAAATAAATTCGAAAGTAAATTTGTGTTGCTAAGCTTAAGAAACCACGTAGTTTGGTATTTTTTTTTTAAAACTGATAGCAAAACAGTCTTCAATCCTTGTAGCACCATGCATGTAAATATGATGTCGGACAAAGTCTACAGAATGGTACCTAGAATATTTTTTATTTATTCCAGGTGGGCCATGCAAGAAGGGTATGGTGCCAAATTAATCAGAACACCAGCATTAATAAAGGACATTGTGAGACAGACTGTGTCGCGAGTTCCAGGACTGCCTGTGTCAATCAAGATCAGAATACATGACGATGCAAGGTACACTGAAACCTCATTCCCAGAGTCTCTCATCTTGGAAAGAAGAGAGACCCTGGGAACAATGAAATTGTACCATAAAATAGCTTTTAAAGAAATTCTTGGTTACCTTTAAATCTCAGGTCAGCTAAAATAGCTTGAATTTTATTTCAAGCCTGCTGGGTCATGGAGGTTGTGGTGGCCTAGTGGTTAATGTGTTGAACTCAGGATCAATCAGTTTGTGTTCCAGCAGTTGCCAGGGTCATTACATGTACAGTGTATGTTGTGTTTTTGGGCAAGACACTTTACTCTCACAGTGCCTCTCTTTAACAAGGCGTATAGAAATAGGTACTGGCAGATTTAATGCTGCAGGTGGCCGTGTGATGGACTAGCATACCATTCAGGGGTATAGTATAGTTGAAATATTCTTAGTCCCTTAATGCTACAGAAAGTGGGGCTCCAGCATGATGGGCCACTAGTCTCAAACACAGACGTTTCGTACCAACCTTCTGCATGTAGAAAATTACTGCAGAGTAACATTTCTCGGCAAAATATACAGGCTTGACATTTTGTTTTGTTATCTTTGTCAGGAAAACAGTTCAGCTTTGTCAACAAGCTGAAAAGGCTGGTGTGGCCTGGATAACTGTACACGGTAGAACAACCAAACAGAGAGGTGAACCAGCCAACTGGGACACTATTAGACTGGTATTGAATAGAAAATAAGTATGCATAATTGCATGAATGGGAGTGCAATTTTAATTTATCAATGATTTACACGTCAAGTGGTACATGTATTTGAGAATTCTTTGAAAATTGCATGAGCCTTTTAGGCTAATGCAATTTGAAAGGATTTCAAACATCACAAGTAGTGTAAATCCTTAATTACTTGTCAATGGACTTCTATACAATTACTCAAAAGATGACCAAGGAAATTATGAACGTGCCTGTAATGTAAATTGGAAACTAAAGATAAATTGGCTGCACTCAGCTAATCACAATGAAGTAATTTTCTCGGTCATTTTGATTAATAATAATTATTATTAATATTTTCTAGGGTGGAGAGGAGTTGGGGGGGGGGGGGTGAGGGTGTAAGAACCACTGAAGGGTCCATAGGGAACTTGCATATCTGGCTTGGAAAATTTTTGCTGACTGTCACAATGTTGTTCATTCATGCAGCAAATTAGAATTTTCATGTATGCTGCACAATGTGGTTCTATCTTGTAAGCCTATGGTTGGAGCCCTAGTGTGTGACTATTCAAATGAAAGCTATCAAGTAGTACTTTAATGTACTTGTAATTATGCTTTACAAGGTGGTTGTTACAAGTTCGTACCAAATCTGTGTGTGTTATTCTTTGACTAACCTTCTCTACATCTTACTGGGCTTAAAAAACTATCCTGTGTCCTCATTGCAGGTTAAAGAAAGTTTATCCATCCCTGTCGTGGCCAATGGGGACATCAAGTGTGAATCCGATGTCAGAACTGTCCATCAAGTAACTGGAGTCAATGGTAAACTGTTTTGCACTTTTTGGAAAGACTGATGTACAGGCATTTGCATGAGAGTTGATGAATGTAAGCACAAGTCGCATATGACTTAATTTTAGTGGGTGTTTAAACTAGTTAGCTCTGTGAGAGCATTTTGGACCTATATGTACCATGCTAGTTAATTTTATCAGTAATTTAGTATTATTTCATATCAAATATCTAGTACATTTAGTGTCAAAGGATCTTTAATATATGCATTGCAGGCCCAAGTCTGTTTTCTCACTCTGTTGTATGAAAATAACTGTACATTGACATGTTGTTCTTGTGCTTTTGTATGAAACTAACTACAGGTGTCATGGCTGCCAGGGGAATATTAAACAACCCAGCCATGTATGCAGGATATGACTGTACCCCCCTGCAGTGTGTGACAGATTGGGTAAGTTTTAGAGATTGGATGGAGCTATTCAAATATTCATACATCTGGTCAAATGTTTTATACGTCCATGTCATTTAATTTACCTTGTGAGAATTTTGACATTGTTACTCAGCTGTTCTGAAAGCTCACTGAACCAGCTTAACGCAGTCAAAAAAATCAAGCCATCCATCTCTGTTCTTTGCACAGGATGGCATACATTTGTATGTTGTTAAGGAGCTGGTTTGTGAACCGCATGGACAAAGTCTACACCTATGAGAAGGTTGCTAAACAAAACGCTTAATGAGCAGTACAGGCCCAGGGGTTGGATTCTCATGTGAAAAGGTTAAGGATGCTTGTTGTCTCGCTAAGGGGCTTAAATCAAGGATTCTGGTCTCGTATAGGGTGATAATGACGAAACGCCACTATTTTTACATGTCAAAGTATTTTTTTAGGGTGCACTCCAAGAAATTATAATAAATGAAATGTACTTGTTTCCATTTTTGACTCGATTTCTGCTGGTTTCTCGAGTCTAGTCTATTAGCATGGGCTTCTTTCTGGAACAGTGGCCGCTAATTGAGCCTATTTCGTTTTAAGTGGTATCTTTTAGGGGTGAAGAAAGCTCAAGCCACGCCCACATTGGTCTCCGTTACCGACAAGTATCCCCGACCTTTTCATGTGGGAGCCCCCCTGGAAGTACAGGTGTGCAGGACATTACGTTCATTTAGAGAACGGGAACATCGCTTGACGACAGCACGTGCAGTACGGGAACATCGCTTGACAACAGCACGTGCAGTACAAATACCCAAATATGGTCAAATTAGAACAGAATCCAGGTTATTCCACGTGCCCTGCAGTGGTCATCTGACGTTCCTGTTCTGTTGCTAAATCAGCCTGTTATAAGTTGGATACGTTGCACCTTTCTTAGCTGCCCTCTGTGAAACAGCAATATGCCAGATAAAGAATTCTTGTTAGTTATTATTTTGCACAGTAGAAGGATAAAAAAGCTTGATTTCTGATGAATTGTTTGTTTTTTACTTTAACATATTGTTTGCTATTTACTGTAACACTGCAGGTTAATATTGCTCTTTCTGTTGGCACCCCATTTTCCTGCTTTCACCATCATTTGATGTACATGTTGGAAAAAGTCACCACTAAAGCAGGTTAGAAAAAAGCACAGACACATACTGCACATCTACTCTGTAGACATTTGCATAATATGACAATGACACTGATTGAAGTGAAAAGTGCTCTACAATACACGTTTCATTTGTGGTTGTGTTTTTTCGTTTTTCTTAACAGACAGAAGAGTGTTCAGTGAGCTTAAAAGCACAGCGGCAGTATTAGATTATCTTAACGAGCATTACAACCTTTAGAACAGCAACAGAAAGTTTCTACTACAGTTTCCTGACTACTGATGCAGTGGCAAGGATATAAGAACAAAATGGTGACTGATCTGAATAGACATTACTGTCAGAATATGATCACGAAAGTCCTGCGTCGATGCTGTCACGCCATAAATCTCCTTTACGTATTGCGGACGGTGATGAGTGTCATTGCAAACCCATCTCCTTGAAGTTGCTACGTCTTGGGTTTTGGAAAAAGAATTTGCCTCACAAACAATAGAGTATGGCTTTGACAACATTTTGACTCAACAGCTTCATGATATTGGCACTACCTCATGCTTGGGTCACGATGTGAAGGAACAGGGACTCTTGATTTGCCATGAATACGTGAAACATGGGCACGCAGGTCGTGCAAGAGCATTTTTGTGTTAATTAAAGCCTCTTGAGGTTGGGGCATTTCAGTAGAATCTGATTAGGGTAATCCAACAAGGTTGTTTGGGTAAGATGTATAGACAAAAAAAAAAATAATAAATTTAGCATTTATGATGTACCCACAGTTTTAAACTGGAAATGAAAAGATAAGCAGGTGGTAAGCCTTATTAAGTTTTTGCTGGCTGATTTAGGTTTGAACGACTAGTAGATTCATACTAAAACAATTAGATTATTCGCTCTTGATTTGTATGCGTGATAGTTGACTTGGGTTGCACCTTCGTCAACTATCACGCGATAGAAATCTCGAGTTCATAATCTTTTTGTTAAATAGAAGTACGGCTTTTAGAGTGTGCCTTATTACACCTGGTTTTCTAAAATTGCCTCTCTTTAGCAATTACTTGAGCAGCAAGCACTTCAAATAACAGCACTGTTAACAGGTTTGACATTTTCATTTACTTTATTTTATAAACTACAAGACTTAAAATTGTTCATCTCTATAACTGGTTACACAGAGTCAAACCTGTAAAAAATACAAAAATTAAAGTCAGCCTGGTCCTCCAGGAGACAATCAAGTGTTGGCCTGACCTCAGTTCCGCCATTCACCAAAAAACTATTGCTATACGGTGATCTGATTGGTTAATTAATACACTATTTGTAATTACACTGATTAAGCGCCTGTGATTACTCTTGTTTTCATTTTTGGAGACAGTCATGATAAAGCTGCTCCAGTGAGACTTATTCATTTTCTGAACACAAATCAGAAGTATTTACATGTAATTATCATGTCTAAATTGAGCAATCTAGAATACTTATGCAGAAAGCTAACAGTGAAAACTTTTTATCTCAACTTACGGAAAGGGTTCTATTATGGGCGCAAAGTCCCAGTCGGATATATTGGAAATTTCATCGAGTATTGAAAATCTTCATCTCTGTAAAACGTTTCAACTTGAAATGCGAGAATACTTAGTTCTCTGGATTATTATAAAACATGGTTCAACAACAATTTACATGTAAAACCATCATCACAAAAGGTTAAGTTTTAGTAGAGAATACATTATTCCCGAGGGAATACCACTTTTTCGAAAAACGGCTTTTGAAACAAAATAATGACAACATGGCTTGATTTTCATATCGCCTTTATACTTAAAAAGCTTGACATTAATTAAACTATTGTACATTCCAACACTGTTACTGTATTTTTCCTAAAAGTAGGGAAATACGTTTGGACAATAAAATGAAATGTCAACCTAAATATCTAAATAGCTCATTTTTTCTTCTAAAACATCCAACATTTTTATGATAAGCGCGATATTTACAAGCANCAGACTTTACCTACCTAAAGAAGGAAGACATATTCGACCACTGAGTAAAATAAACCAAACGTGCTTTCTACCTTGACAGTGAAGAAAGGAAAGACGGATAGAAGCTAATAACTTCAAAGGATTGAAAGCTGGCAATCATGCGACTGAAAAAAGCTAATTGGGTACAATTAAAGCAAAAAGAACACGGCTAATCAAACCTGAAGTTTTGTCGGCTTGTGTGTGACGGCCATCACAAACACCACTATGTCGCGCTCGAGGCTGTGGTAACCGAACAGATCACACTCGGTCTAATGGAATAATAATAAAAAATATTAATTAAACTAAACCGGACTGATATCAATTACCTTTATTTAATCATATATTCAGACACGACCCGAGAGACATCTGGAGAGTGCTGGAGACTTTTCTTCTGCCCTCGCAACAGATCTAAACCCACGCGCGCAAGCGATTCTAACGAAGTTTGCGGTTATCGATATGAACGTTACTAAGCAACAAGACTTATGCTTACAGTGGAGATGTGCCGCCGTAGAACCCGGAATACTTCCTCCAGCGTGACAGACTCGTGTCTACTGAAGCCTTCTCGGTTTCTTGCCAGCTGTTTCAGAATGTACAAAATTCGAACTTCCGCGGCTGTAAGACAAACAAGCCACTGTTTAATTGTGAAGCTGTTGTTTATATAAGGTAGAAGAACGAGATGAGTCGAGAATAGAATGAAATTTGTTAACGCACTCGCCTCGTCACGCAACACCGCAACCTTGCGTGACGACTCAAAACAAACCCTGTAAGTGCGACATTCTTACAATGCTAAGACCATGAAGACAGGTACATTATGTTACAGAACAGTTACCAGTTAAGATCATGCAGAGTTTTGCTTACCGCAGTGTGGACAGCAAGCCCCTGGTGGAATAATTCCTTTGCAGTGAGGCGGTTTCAGCGCTGGACACGTGACATTCTCACACACTTGCTCATCGTCTGGGGAAAAAAATAAATCCACTTACTTCTGCCCAGTCAGTAATAAAATTATCCTTAATAACCTGTTTGTCCTACTCCACGAATTTCCGATGATTGACTCTATTTCAAGTTAATGATTCCTTCGTTCGATGAATGTTAAAAGAGCATTGCAAGAGACCTTAGGAATTTGAACGATGAACTACAAGGCACCTTGAAACAATATCAAGACACTATAGCATTTCTACAGCCACGTTGACGGCTTGGTTTCACAAAGCTGTTCCGATATCAATAGCTACATGTGTAAGATTACTAAGGAGTGTTATCTATATTTTTTTTTACCAGCTTGTTACTGTTTCTCGCACTCCAAAGGTAAAGACAACAGTTATTCAGAAGATCAAATATTTTATTCGCCTTCACTGCCGATTTCAGTTAATTTTGTTTTCCGTCATAGTGCTGGAAATGGCAGTCTGTCATTGTCTGAAAAAATTTTCAAATTGTCCAATTGATTTACAGTATGGTCGAACACGTCATGTGTCAGTTCTGGGAATTTTCAAGAATATTACTGTAACTTTTCTTGAAGGTTATTTTTCCTACTCCTCACACCTGACTGATTGAAAATATATGAGCACAATAAGGGGAAAGAAGATCTTTATCAGCCCCATTTTCGATGATCGAGGGCTCAATCAGTAACTTGGAGCTCAATCAGTAAACCTTGGGAGTTTAAGTAACGTTAAAAAACGTTGAATGGCAGCTGACACTCACCATATCCGCCTCCAACAGCTTTGCACGGCCCTTGATAATCAACTATGACTCTGGCTGAATGAGCTGCGCATGTACTGGAGTATGTCTCTCCATTTATGCCGCATACGGGTGGGGAGGGTGGTTTGCATTCATCCTGTTAAACAAAAATCAAATGAAAGTCAGTACCTCGCAACGACACGAAACGCATCCGCTTAAACGTCAGGTTAATTTCTATAAAGTGAACAGAGTGTCAATTTGAACGCTTTCAAAATCTCCGTCAACCAACTGAATAAGATTTAGCATAAAGCTGCTCTCTATTTAATAGCTTTGATAAACGGTCATCTCTCTTCACACACTAATCACTCAACAATGTATTGGTAAAGTCTCTTAGCTTCCAACTTGGGAAGGCACTCAACAGCAGTCTTGACAAAACTTGCGTCCGTTGTTACACCGAGGGATCGCAGTTCATGCGCAATCGCTACTTAACTAACCTTACAGAAACCTCTGTACGCCAGGCTCTTGCGGTTGAACTGCAACGAGCAGAGGTTTGGGTGTTGATTGTTGTCCGAGTCGCAGACTGGGTCCAACTGAAGATCACTACAGTATTTTCCTTCAGAGACTGTGAATACAGAGACAAATATTAAATTGACAAATCTCCCTTGCAGTAGCTAAAATGATGATATAGTTTTAAGCTAATCTGCTGTTTGCTTACCACAGTAGTACTGGTTGCAGGGATCATAAATAGAGAGACAAGTCTTCCTTTCAACAATACACCTGGAAGAAAAATGGTAACAGAACTGAGTCGACCTAACCCTGTTATCGTCCATGTACACTAGCATCATAGTTCTCTTTATTCTTAGTTGGGTGTCCCCCATTACAGAGGGATCCCTCTTCTTAGCCACGTTAAAAGACGTTTATTTGTTCTTTCATTCATTCATTTGACTTTTCCGTCTGCCAAATGCTGTCATTCTGAACTGGAAGTTAAAGTCCATTCGGAAATAAAAGCCTGTCGATCATCTCTATAGTAATGCACAATAGAAAAAAAACTGCTCATGGACACAACGCGAATTTTAGCTTCGATTAAATTCTTGTTATCCATCTCAGTCTTTCCCAATCTTAGCCATGATCGATCGTTTTTTGCTAAGGATCGTCTCTCTGGTGTTTTTCTATTACTTTGACTTCAATTTAAAATGAATTTTCAACATGGCATAAAAGGAAAACATCGTAAAATCTTCGCAACATAAAATTTTAACTGTAGGATGAATGTATAAAAAGTAGTCGCAATTCCGAGCCCGTTATTGTGCTAACTTATTTCTTTTGAAATGTCAAAGGCGGTATTTCTTCAGCAGTTATCTCAAAGCAAACAACAGATCTAATGCAACAAGCTAGCATCTAATGTTATGTTGAATACACTCACTTTTCATCAGGTGCACAGGGACTTGGTTGGCAAGGATCAATGGAAGCACAATTTCCCTTCTTTAGCTTAGACCAGGTCAGTCCAATACATCTGTTGACGAAAACAGGTTTAATATGAAACCTTGTCTGTGTCAAGCATTTGACTCCAGGTAAGGGCTGAACCACTTGACTGTTGAGGGGGGATGGGTGATTGCAACAACAAAATATTCCGCAGGAAAACTTGCACCTAACAAAAATTCACGAACATGACTACTGCCGGAAACAACATTCACCCACGTTTAGTGAGCCGGAAAAAAGCATGTTACACGCAGAAAATTTACAGTATACCTAAGTTCCGAGAAAAAAATTCCTAGTGCATGAAAGGGTTTAAAAAATCATCCCTTCACCAAATCACCCACCCTCGCCCCTCAAAAGTCAAATTGGCCACCCCTACAACTCGTGGACTTCAACCCTGGCACTTCCAAACCCGTAATCCTTATCTACGTTAAAGGCACGCAATATTCTCTAACCAATCAAAACCAAGACTGACGTCAATCAGGAACCAAAATCTAGATGTTCAACTTTTTCCGCGTGTACCGGTCATGTATTTTCCCGCACTTTCCACCGTTTAAATCTTTTCCCGCGCTTGCCACTGGTCGTCCACATTCTTTTGAGTTCAGATTAGTTAGTCACGACATTTTGTAGCTATCGTGACTGCCTCCATGTGCAATTATTCTTGCGGAGAAACAAATCTTGAATTAAAGTTCCTTACCGTGCCACACAAGGGTTAGGGTAGGTCTTGGCATCACTGCCACACACTGGATGGTAAACATTTTCACAGGCGCAGGGCAGGGTTGTGATCACATCTGTATCCATCGACTCATTGTCTGGTGTCTGATTACGCTTGGGTCGGCCTAACACAGACAAGGAAAATAGTTCAGACTGCAAACAGAAATTGGTTTCACTATAAATGGAACGGGAAATCGAATGACTTTTGATGGCACAAAATCTGACTCGGTCAACATTCTACAAAACAGAACAGTGATGTTCGAACACTAGCGGCAAATATCGCATAGGAATCAATGAGATAAACAGAGAAATCCAAGGGATAAACAGGAATCACTGTGTAAGCTGTACTTACTTGCATTGTATTCTGGTGAAAACACGGGCTCGGGACAATGTTTCTTTGTGCAAATAAGCTCTCCCGAGAAACACGTGCACATGTTGCAGCCGTCCATAAACAGTTCGCCATCATCTGCAGAGAAGAAGCAACATGAAGTCAATAACGAACTGACAATTGCAGGAGACAACTTGGGTTTACCGAGTTTTGTAGCCGCTATGTGGAACGCGCTCTAACCAATCAGAGAGAAGATTTTTGGGTCCTCGTGACTTTTCCCGCGTTTCCACTGGTCACGCGTTTGCCTACATTTGGCATCGGTTGTTTGTTTTTGCTGCAAGTTGCTAATGGTTTCTTGCATAATTTGTGACTTCAGTGACTGACCCGAAAACTTTGTTATTGTTATGGTCACTTAAAAAAAAAAAAAACAGTTCTATCGGAATACTTCAACTTACTTTTGGTTTTGTCCCTTAGACTACACGGCTTTCGTTGAACGCACTCCAGGTTTACACAGTTACTGAGTCTGGACGTACCATCGCAATGGCAGATCCTAAAGCAGCCTTCCCTTCCAGTTGCAACCGGCACCTGACATGAAGAACCAAAGCACATGACTCTAAAACACTGCAAACATTCCTGGATCATCTAAACCCAATATTACTGGTTCAATTTTGTAACATAACACTCGGCAAATGATTGACAGGAACCCAGAAGGGAATAAGGATGAGCAAAGATGGCGAAAACCACGTGGGCAAATGCAAACACGTACACAGGAATGTGTAAGGTTAGTTCAGCCCTTAAAAATCTCAAAAGATTCTAGCTTAACAGTAGAGTGTGAAGTGCAAGACAATTCTTACCCTCGCATACTCTCCAACTCTCACAAGAAAGCTTGAAGCGTCACCAAGTGGACACCCTGCGTTAATTATCAGCACGGTATACGTTACTTTTCACATATTGAACTTCTACTAGCCACGAACAACGTATTATCGCAAATGAACTACATGGACTTTCTGTTTGTAAAGTAATTTCAAGCGACTAGTGACGAGATTAAGGCATTTACCTATCTCAAGAACAAATATGCAGACTATTGTGACTGAAAGCTAATATTCCCACAGAGAACCATGCGCAGCCTGCAAAAAAACAATTGTCGACGAAGGCCTTGCGGCTTTTCCACAAGGCCTTGCACTGAGAACCCTAGACCTAGTAAATGGTTTGAACCCAGGAGTATCAGTAGTGCTTCTAGTGTGATCATCCGGGTGAGGGTTATTCTAAAAAGAAATGTTGTTGGTGACTGACGTTTCAACACCCTGAGCGGAAGTCATCTTCAGAATCAAGTGAATAGAGATTGTCAGTCAATGGTGTTATAAGTCTGGTCTGTTGAAAGTGATTGGTCCGTTTAGCCGTGATAATATTGGCTGTAAGACTTGTGTTAAGTTATCAGGGCGAGCACTAGACGTTTAGCTAGGCGGGCATTCAATAATTAGCTTTCTGTACCCCACCACCAGCTTGCATGAAGGGTTAGAATGACCTCACTCCTACCCCCAAGAACGTGCTTTGCCCTCTCCTCAAATCTCTCCTGTTTTCGAAATCCAAGATCGTGCTCGAATCAAAATGCACTCCGTTTGCTCGCTAAAATACCCCTTCATTATAGGCTATAAAAGGATACTTACCTGGCACACAAGTGTATGATTGACACCTGTCAAGTAGGGCTCCATAGCAACTTCTGTTGATATCGCACACTTGATTCTCCTTGCATGGGTTTGGGTTACAAGGGTGAGTTACTAAAACAAAACACAGATGAGTGAGAGTCAAATCAGTACTACAATCCAATGAAAGGCATTTATCTACAATTCGTGTCACAGTGAGTAGCGAGAACTTAAGTACATGCGTTAAGTTGTATGCGCAATTCTCCTGTCCTCCAAAATGAGAAGTCAAACAATCTCTGCGCTTACATGTTGTTCCTATCAATATTGAAAGGAGGGAGTGGGCACAATTATCACGATTAGAAAAACAGTAATTTCGTAAGTGAATTCCTAAATCAATTTCCCTTTACCTTCATCCGTCACATCGGTATACTTGCTGGGAACTGCAAAATAAGAAGCATAATAAAAGTTGTATGATTTACACATCCATCTATAACAGACAGGACACTATATTGCATGTGTTCCTGTTGTAACTTTACAGCTACCTTTACAGTGCACATGCAAGTGTCATATTAAGTACACACCAAGGTATTCTTTGAGGGAAATACATGGAGCTTGCTTCTCAGGAGGAGAGAGTTCATCACAAACTTCTTCTGCCGATTTGGATGCCAGGTGGGCACTGGAATTGCGACACTTCTGTAGAATTTGAACGCAATCAGGCCTGAAAGGAAAACATCAAGTATTTCAGTGTGAGAAGAAAATAGCAAAGTTGAATATCAGTCACAGATCAGAAGCAGATGCACGGTCGCCATTATTACTCACCTACAGATGGTGCTTCTGTGAGACTTGATACTGCATGGCTTAATCTGAAGTACACAAGCAATGGCCTGAGAAAGAAACAAAATCCTCAGTCCAGTTGATCTTTTTGCACCTCCATTTTAAACGTGGGATGCTGTGGTCAAGTGGTTAGCATGCTGGAGTCCAGATACAAGGATATGAGACCTGCCTGGGGCCATTGTTTTGTGTTTTTGGGCAAGACACCTTATTTCTCTCATCGTGCCTCACTCCAATCAGGTGTATAAAGAGGTACTGGCAAACTATATGCTGGAAGAACGCTCCACTACTATCTCACCCCGCAGGAAGGAGATATGCTGTACTCCCTTGATAATACAGAGACTGGAGGTAGGTGCCAGTCTGACCGGAACACAAATTTTCCATGTTCAAACAGAATACAAGTGGAGCAAGATCTTTGCCAGCCAGGTAAGCAAACCCACTAGATTCACACAAATACCAGGCTTTAAAGATACACAGTAGACAAGTGTATTTTTTAGGGACATACCTTCCATGTGTCAGGGAGGCACTTCTTGATGTCCTGAATTGGGATTAAAATGTTCGGCATTCGAATGAAGCCTTTTTTCCACTCCTGAATGTGATTCTTAGCTTCGTAATCTGAATTGCTGTTACAGCTACGAAAAAGTTCTGTATGCCTGTCAAACAAAATACCATTTAATACCATTTAATGATCAACAATCAGTTTCATATGCGATGCAAAGAGGCCTTCTGCTTCATCTTGAGGAGAACCAGGAGAAAACTTTCATTGTAATCTGATCAGTCTCACATTAGCCACCAGAACTAAAAAGCTTGAACTTCTAGATTAAACAGCACCACACTTGCCAAGCAATTTGCGACAATAAGTTACAGTTGTAATTCAGAAATATCATTTACAAAAGGTCAATTGCCTCCTTACGGGAAGCCCTTGGTTATAGAGTGCCTGTGTTATTAAAGACAGCTGTTATTAATATTAGAAAAAAATTACAACGATCACTGGAATACAAAACTCATGAGCATGCATGGTGGCTTTTACAAAAGTGAACCGAAAATAAACCTTTTCCTTTTAAATGTCACCTGAAAGAAAATCAAAGCTTGAATGTAAGAAGAGCAAACTGAGTCAACTCACCATCGTGGAGGAGGTTTTCTTACATGGCTCAAACATCACAAGAGGAATCACAAGACGACGCTTCTTCGACTGAGGCTGTCATCCTACTAAGACAAGACAAGAAATTTGCGCCTTTTAATGTACTTTTTTTTTTCGTAATCAGAAATAAGTTACTTTATCCCAACAATTCAAAAGAACAAGAAATAAGCTAGGGGGAACGAAAACGAAAGCCAACACAGTACAGTACTGGTCAAAGGGATTGCAGCACCTGCACGCGCGTAAAATGCGTGTAGTCTGCGTGTAGTATTCATGGACACTACGTGTAAGGTGCGTGGACACTGCGTGTAATGTGCGTGTAGTACACGCGCTTTACGCGCGTGTAATGCTGCAATCCCTTTGACCGGTACTGTAAGTGTGTCAGGTTTGATTCTTATGTCCTCTGCTGGTAACGTACGTGTTTCCGCTTTAACCACTTTTTATTGGCATCTTGAACTTAATTTGAAACTTTTAAACTTAATTTGATGGCTACCAATCTGCACATTTCTAAAATGCATATTTTAGTGCCTCCATTCAGGTACACTTTTCAAACAATTTCGTCTCACTATAGGTGTGATTTTACGGCAGTGTTTTGAAAAATAAATAATCATTTTCAAGTAAGATCCCCACCTGATTTCGTTAAAATTGATTGTGACGTCATCTCCAATAAGTACAAACGGAGCCCAGCACCTCACGTCATTGAAGTCGTCGGATTTTCGCAGATGCTTCCTGGCTTGGTGGAGACACTTGCTGACGCGTTGGCCTTCAGACAGATGATTGTAGAAGTGTTTCATGAACTCTTCAGTTGCTTTGTCATCGATCGCCCACAATGTCACGACTACGGAACGAGCACCAGCTCCTAAAAAGGCACGTGCAATACCAACCACACCTTCAGCCTTAATTTCCCCTCGGCCGGTGTGGCAACAGCTCAAGACAACCAGTCGTGCTCGCAAGTTTGAATCCAAAAGGTCTTTCATCGTCAGAAGAAAGTCTCCCGACGAGGACGCCGGATCAGGAGACAAAATAATCTCACTAGTTCCAGGAAAACCATGTGCTGCAATGTGGACTAATGCAACTGAATTTATTCGGCTCAACACTGCGGCCTTTGTTGGGCTTTCTCCTGTAAGAGGCTTAGTATTGAGAATCGCACCGATCATTTCCACTTCCTTTTTGGCCCAGGGGAGTGGCGATAGTTTAGTGAATCTGCCGTTTATGACGACTGGGACACCCACCCTCGGATCTCCAACAAGCAGCGCTCCAGTCTTACTGTGGTAGCTCTCAGGACACTCCGCCATCAGCTTCACACTGGTCAACGAAGGAATCAGTCGAATTCTGAAGATCTCAGAAAGGTACCTGGAATGTTGGTTGATGACTGCGGAAAAAGGAATAAATGCCAAGGGACCATCATGGACGATGGTGATTTCATCACCATGTAATAAGTCTGCAATTGGGCCAATGAACTTATTATACAGTTCCTTTAAAGCTTCTTTCTTGCCATCTAATGATCCTGTCTCTTGAGATCTCTGAACAGGCCCCTCGTCATCTGTTGGGCCATCCAAGCAACGATCCTCGCATTTAACACTTCTCAGCTTTTGGCAAACTCCCTCAATCCAAGACTGCACGAAGATAATTCCTTTTTCTTGGAATGTGTTTCCATCTAATTTTGTTTGCCTGAAAAGAATTTTTTTCCCTTCCTCTAGCACTCAGAAATTGATATAGCTCTCCAAAATAGCTAGAAAAACCGTCTGTGACGGAAGGTAGCGTAAAATGTCAAAAATTGATTCAGTGTTCTCGGCTGACCATGACGACTGGGCCACTTCCAAGACATACTTTGATTTCAGAAGATCCATCAAGGCTTGTGCACGTCCTCGCTCAGTTGAAGAAAGAGCTTCAATAATCTTGTTTCGGTATAACTGAATGGCCCATAATCCATTGTAAGCATTTCTATGCTCATTCCGGACACTTATTTTGCAGTCATCTCGCGAATGAAGAAGATCTCTGATGTTATCGTACACGTCCACACTGGATTTCAAACAATCTTCGGCTTTTGAAAAATCATCGAACTGTATGTAGAGTCTGGCAAGGTTAAGGTACGCAAGTGCTTGACGACCTTTTTGTCCAGAGTCCTTGGAAATACTGAGAAATTGCTGGCAGTACTCCAGGCCAGTGTTCAAATCACCTTGACGGGAATAAATGTTACCCAGATTACAGTATACACGTGCTTCCTCAGCTCTATCTTCAACATCCTTGGCAATACTAAGACATTGTTGGTAGCACTCCTTGGCTTTTTCCAAACCACCAAGAAAGTAATGAATGTTACCAAGATCACCATATGCCTGTCCCTGTGCTCCTTTATCTCCAACATCCTTGGCAGCACTAAGACATTGCTGGTGGTACTCCATGGCTGTCTTCAAATTACCGAGAGAGCGATGAATGTCACCAAGATAACCATACACAAATTCCTGTGCTCCTTTATCTCCAAGATCCTTGGCGAGACGAAGACATTGCTGATGATACTCCATGGCTGTCTTCAAATTACCCAGCTGGAAATGAACGAGACCAAGATTACCATATGCACGTGCTTGCTGTCCTTCATCTCCAGCCTCCTTGGCAATACTAAGATGAAGCTCCCGGCACTCGAAAGCTTTCTTGTAATCGCCAGCATTAAAGTATTTACTTCCAAGACTACAATACACTTTTGTATGATCATCGCAGTAAATTTTTCCTCTTTCCAATTGCTTAAATTGGAAAAATTTACTGCGATGATCATTCTTCACTTTCATCTATGACCGCAGTTAAAATATGAATTATTTCATATATACTTCACATCATGATAATTTCCTGTTAGTAAAAATATTAAAACAACAACAACAACAACTTACAGTGTAAATAAACATTTAGAAGTAAAACAGAACTTCTAACTCTGAGAAGAATGAATCTGTTAAAAATGCAAATTCTCACCCAATTGGAACTGGACTGTCGCTCTGTTTGTGTACAATATGGTGCTCAAGTTTTTATCCCGACAGCCTACTTTGATTCCTTCAGTGTAAAAATCATTGGCATTGACATACTCTCCGTTCCTGTATTCCTTACCACCTTCTTTGTTGTAAACATCTGCAATTGCTAATTGGTTCAGAATCAAAATGAGACAAATTTAGTCTTTGCCTTTCACGAAACTTTCTGTTATTGAAATATCTTAACCTACGGGATCAAAAGTTAATGTCGTCTTGAGAAGCTTTCAAAATGTGTTCTTTAGTATTGTTATCCGCTGTCAGAAAACATATCAATGACCATAATTAAGTCAAGTTGAGAAAACAACTGACCTTTCCGAATAACAAAACATTTATTTAAGCCGAGATTCAGTTATTAGCTGCTATTTACAGAAGTACTTTTGACATTTCAAGTTATATCTTTTCCTACCTCGTAATGTGTCGTCATCAAAGTCCAGTGTTTGAGCGGGAGGGGTATGACATCACTCATACTCACAGTGTCCAATAAATTACTGGCCATCAGTGGCGAGATCTCTAAAGAAGCGTTCTCTTGATTTGTCTGAGTAAAGAATTAATAATAATTCATGGTTTAGTTTTATCGCTGCTGTGCATTAAAAAGGAAATAAAATTCAATCTAAATGGCAGCTTGTAACCGTAATGAAAAACATCCAAATGGTACTTATCAAGCTCTCAATTAAGTGACATCATTTTTTGTTCTCTATTATTTGAAGCCCTGTATCACTGTTACTTGAGCCCTGGCCGAGGACATTGTGTTGTGTTCTTGAGCAAGACACTTTACTCTCTCTGCCTAGGTGTATAAATGAGTACTGGCGAACTTAATCCTGGGGTTAACCCTGCTATGGACTAGCATCCCATCCAGGGGGAGTAGAAATACTCCTAGTCGCTTCATGCTACAGAAACATAGCCGTCGTCGTCCACGTTCTGTAGACGACGCAGAACTTGGTCATTTCACGTTGTTGTTTTGCAGAAGACGGCAAAAATTGTACAAAGATTTATAACGCACGTGCACAGGTATTGTTTTGCTCATTAAATCTTTTGTTTAGTGACGTTCTCGTTGCCGTCGACGTCGTGGTTTGCTTAAGCTCCCTATTATACTGTCTAATACCTTGTCTTTACATCCCTCCACCCTCCCCTCCACCATTAATGCTTTGCTTTGTAAAGTCTTTGCACTCGGCCATGAAAATACAACCAAATTCAAATGATACTGCTAATCCTTCATCACACCACGTAATGGCTTTTTCATAGAGAATCAACTTCACACAGGCTCTTGCTCCTAAAAATACCAAGAACAAGGTGTTGACATAGCGTCCATATATCTCACATTCAAGGTAAATGTGTCAGGGTATCATGCCATTACCCAGAATGTGAGTGTATTTTGTTGTTTTCGTGGTCACGGAGTCTCATTAAAAAAGAAAAGTTTAGTTACACGTCACAATTAACGAAACATGCCAGACATAGTTTCACTTGCTAAAATGTTTTTGTCGAAAATGATAAGATCAAACTCGAAGTAAAAGGCGCCATCGGTCATCCGTAACTATCAATATTCAATAAATCTTACTGTCCGTGCCATGTGCAAATTTCTCTGTTTCTTAATCAGTTGAGAATTTTCACAACAATTAATTAAAAATGGCAGCAGCGAAGCTTTGTGTCTACTACTTCACCATCATTTACGACACTGTTGAGGAATGGACGCTATGGTTAAATGACCGTACTTTTGCAATTTTGTAGAAAGATTTCAAACCGTTCGGATTTTGCAAAGTTACTTCATTTTTTAGTGGAACACTTAAACTGTTTTCTGAAAGTATTCCTT